TAAAACAATTTTTACATACAGATGTTTTTGTACAAACAATCGATACAAAAAAATACTAAATAATACTAAAAGTACTGAGTAATAATAATAATAAAAAATACCAAAAAAAAACTAAAAAAACACTAAAAAAATAAAAAATTTGTCAAACAAAAACAAACGTTGAAATCATTTTTGCTCCCCCTGAACTTTGAAAGCAGAAGGATTTTACCCAGTAGCTGTAGGAATTTTTGCAGGCCACATATTCCTGAATTTAGGACGAAAAAATAAGAGGAAGACATTTTTCAAGATATAGCACAGCAATTCTGAAAACATTTTGAGAGAATTGAAAATAAATGATGGTGTTGGAATCCGAAGTATTCCCCAACTTTTGCCGTTTTGTTTGATGTCCGATAACTTTTCTATATCTGGAAAGAAGTTTTTATCTTTGAAAAGAGGTTCTTCATCATTTTTTTTCGTAGAATTTAGTGGCGTGCGCTGTTTTTATGCAACTTCCGGTGTTTCTGTATAACACGAACATATGTTATTTTTTTAATGAAACACTTGTATATTTTTCGATATTTGAAATATGCATACAATTTCCTTTCCAGTCCTTATCACTTATGGTATTTGCGATAAAAATGTTTAAATATAATGAAAATAATTTGATCACAATTTAATTGTTTTGTGAAATCATTAAGTATGGTACAATTTTACCGTAAAGAAAATAGTAGGAGTTGGGCGAAGGCTCTTTTCTATAAAGAAAATAATACTAATTTTTATTTATAAATTAGAATTTTATATTTCATCCTAATTGTCAACTTTGCCAATTCCACTTACGTTTGATTATTTTTTTTACTCGTATTTAAAAACTTGCTGTAATTTCATTTTTTTAACTCTTAACAATTCATAGTGTAGAATCATTTTAACTCGTTTCAGTAATTTGAATATTCAGATGAATTCAAGTGAAATTAGTACAAAATTTTTGTATTTGTTTAAACTTTATAAACTGTAATGTCACTGGAAGAGACTTATTTCTCTTCCAACTAGCGACCTCTAGCAGATGTTTAAAAATTAACGTCGGCGACATTTTACCACCCTCAGAAATTTGACTACAAAATTTCAATGCAACACACTGTTTTTTAAAAACGATAAAACAAAATTTCATTTTGAAACATAACAAAAAATCATTTTATTTCCCTATCACCCCCCATTTCGTAATAGGATAGAAAATCGCGGGCGGACTCAGTGGCCACCACGATCATCTGAGCTGTCCCCACTCGCCTCCTTTTTGTTGGGAAGGATTGAAGATCTCACCCCACAAACAAGGTTATAACTTCAGGCGAGGTTCGGCAAGCAGTGTTACAGTCTTTTGATAGCGTGTGCAACATAAAGTTGATAAATAAACTAATGTAAAAATTAAAGGGTGATTTTTAACAGACTGCATTTAGGGGGGAAATGGTCGTATCGGGAATTAAAAAAAGCGTTTTGAAGCTTTAAGATTCTAGTTTTTAGATCTTTTGGTCGAAATTTTTTAGGAGCTACGGTTATATGCAAATTGTAATAGCGCGACAAAAAAAAATTATATATCCACGGACTCGGAAAATTTTTTTTCAGCTAAGCCATTGCTTGGACCAGATAGCTTGTTTATTCAGCTTCAATTTCCTTTTTTTTTAAATTTCGATACGACCATTTTTCATCGAAATAATGGAAAAGGATCCTTTTGTCTTCTGTCATCGATATCTTGGCGAAAATGGTCCTGCAGAGAATTTGAGGGCAGTTTCAAAAACTGGAATAAATTTCCTATAACATGCTGTCGCAACTTTTCGGAAAAATTTTTTTTCATCTTTTACACGAATTTTAAAAAACAGGAAAAAAAGGGTAATTTATGGTTTTTTAGAAAATAGACGGCTAAATTAGAAATATTCACGAAATGACTAATGTTAAGCATGACTTTTACAGTTCGATATACCCAGAAGAATCCTGTGAAGTTTCATCTCGATCTAGCGAACCGTTTATTTTTTTGAAACAGTTAAACATTTGAAAAAATTAGCTTAAACATTTCATAATCATGATTAAAACAGAAAAAACATTTTTTTGGAGGTTTTCTCACATTTTTACTGCAATTACGTTTTAATTTGTTAAAAAAATTGGAAAATTTTTGGGTTTTTTTTTTTTTTTTTTTTTTGGAAAACCTTCCGGGCATTGAAGAAAACAAAATCCAATTGTTTCCAGCGCGATTCGACTTTCCGTCCTATGCTTCTGTTCGTCAACTGTTAATTAAATTAAAATTAAAGTTAATGACGACCAGATTTCGACCCCGATTCATACCGTTTTTTGAGACAAATTTCTAATTAATTTTTGTGCAATTTTTTTAAATTTGTTTTGCGTAGTTTTGAAAAATCCTTTTGTCTTCAATCATCGATATCTGTTTTTTAAGTGATTACAGACTGCACAAAAATTTATTAGAAAGGACCCCGCACAAATCTTATGGAAATTGGGTCCCGGTCAAATTCGCTGAATTTTTGATATGTGATAGAGTTCATCATACTGGTCAATTGTCTCAATGGCCACAAAGCTCAAAAATGGATAGTTTGGCCGGTACAGAGCTTTAAAGCTCCGAATATCCTCCACGGATTTATGTATATGCGCAGTGTGTATAGACTTTTGAAATAGCCTATTTCATTTTTTTTATTATCTAGGTTTATATTTTTGAGGTTGCTGAATTCAGATCTGTTGTTAGATTTTCAAAATTGACAGTTGGCAGCTGTCAAATAGCTGTCAATGTGCTATAATAAAGCCAAAAACTTGTTTTTTTATGTTTTATCTTTCTTTTTTTTTAGTTCGATAAGTTCAAAGACGATATCAAATCAATAACAATGACTATCGGCAGCTGTCATTTAGCTGTCAACAATTCTTCAAAGTCCGGTAATAAAGTCAAAAAATTATTTTTTGTTTATAACTTCAAGTTTTTTAGATAAGTGAATATAAATATGATATAAAATTATGTAGTCATCAGCTTACAGCTGTCAACAAGCTGTCAACTAACTGTCAAAATGCAATAATAAAGTCAAAAAGTTACTTTTTTTAAAAAGCTTTAAGTTGCTTAGATCACTGAGTTCAAAAGTGATGTCATAAACTTATATCATGTTTGATTTCTTATCCACAAAGTTAAGCACAAAAAATAAGTTACTTGCTCTATTATTGCATTTTGACAGTTAGTTGACAGCTTGTTGACAGCTGTAAGCTGATGACTACATAATTTTATATCATATTTATATTCACTTATCTAAAAAACTTGAAGTTATAAACAAAAAATAATTTTTTGACTTTATTACCGGACTTTGAAGAATTGTTGACAGCTAAATGACAGCTGCCGATAGTCATTGTTATTGATTTGATATCGTCTTTGAACTTATCGAACTAAAAAAAAAAAAAAATAAATCATAAAAAAACAAGTTTCTGGCTTTATTATAGCAAATTGACAGCTAGTTGACAGCTGCCAACTGTCAATTTTGAAAATCTAACAACAGATCTGAATTCAGCAACCTCAAAAATATAAACCTAGATAATAAAAAAAATGAAATAGGCTATTTCAAAAGTCTATACACACTGCGCATATACATAAATCCGTGGAGGATATTCGGAGCTTTAAAGCTCTGTACCGGCCAAACTATCCATTTTTGAGCTTTGTGGCCATTGAGACAATTGACCAGTATGATGAACTCTATCACATATCAAAAATTCAGCGAATTTGACCGGGACCCAATTTCCATAAGATTTGTGCGGGGTCCTTTGTCTGAAAAAAAAAAACGGTATAAATCGGGGTCGAAATCTAGTTTGGGTCATCAACGTTAATTTTAATTTAATTAAAAAAAAAATTGCAAAATTTTTCTGACGCGCTATTTCTTTGAATTGCATAATAACCGTAGCTCCTAAAAAATTTCGACCAAAGATCTAAAAAATACAGTCTGTCAAAAATTATGAAAACATTTTGGAAATTCTTTTGACCCTTTAATTTTTGCATTAGTTTAGCGTAAATAATATTTAAAACGATGTAGATTTCGTCTACAACAGAATGGAGCACCATTTTAACACATGTTGTATTGACTCTCCCTTGCAAAATGTTTTTGTTTAAACTATGTTTATTTTGTAAATAGTAATATTTTATTTAATTGCGGTTTACGGAATATTTTAAAATTTTTCAAAAATGTACATTTTTGGCTTGCCGCAGGCTATGCTTGCAGTAAATAGCAAGTACGGGAACGTAAATGTTAACGAGTTATAGATGAAGAGAAAATAGAAGATTTTTAACGGTTTTTTCGATATATCTCGAAAAGTAACAAAGCAATCGATACTTACAAAAAATCAGTCGATAGATCTTTTTAAATCCTACAACTTTCTCATTTAAAATATTTTAGTCGGTGCTATAATTTTTAGTTATTTTAGAAAAAACCGTTTTTTGCAACTTTGCGATTTTTTAAACCATGTTCGCCATTTCGGATCGAGTTTAAAGAACAAAAAACTCAATTTAAAATTTAATTTTCCATACGGTCATATTTTTTTGTCCAGGTAATAATTTCTGTAAGCATTTCTCTATAATGCTTGGACTAAAAATCAAGATAACGAGACGAGACGATACGGGTCGCTACAACTAAAAAAAAATATCAAAACTGTCCCGTACAAGCTATTATAACAAATTATTGAAAGTGTTCGTGAAACGATTTTTTGTGATGGGGCTCCTATCAGTGTAAAATTCATATTGAAAGTTAAAGACAATACAAAAATTCCCTATTACAGCTGCCGTACTGGGTAATTTTATTATATAATTATAATTCTTAATTTAAAATAAGTAATCTTTATTTTGAATATGTTTAAAGTGGTATGAGATCTTAGCTTCATCTGTTACCTGAAAAAATGACCTAAGCGACCTCACTGAAAGCCCTGTACGTCCAGTCAGTGTACGAACCCGACGCCCGTGGTTGACAACGAATAATTTTTTATTATTTTGGCGGACTACTCACCTTCACCAGCTCGTTGACGATGAGGTTCTGGGGCAGGTTGTCGAACACGCCGTCCGTGGCCACGAGGATGACGTCGCCGTCCTCCACGGCGAAGTTGTCCGTGATGGCGGCGTCCGGTCTGTCGCTGAGCACGTCCTGCTGGTATCCGGGCGGCGGCAGCGACAGCTGGAAGGGCGTGTTGAAGTAGTGCTGCTGCTCCTCGGAGCGGCGGATCACGCGCCCTCTCCTCACAACCATGAACCCGCTGTCGCCGATGTTGGCCGTGTACAGCGTGCTGTTCTCCTTGTTGAGGAGGACCACGCAGGCCGTGCTGCTGCCTGGAAATTCGGAAAAGCCGTCAGGCGTGTATTTTTTCAAAAAAAAAAAACATAAAATGTTGACATTTGCCGTTTCTAAGGTACAAGATACTTTGTCCAACAGCTGCAGTTCCGCAGGCGTTTTAAAAGTTGGTTTTTGGTGACTAAAATCAAATTTCAATCAATAGAGATTACTATTTTTTATTCGGGAACAAATGAACGTACAGAAAATCTAAGCAGGGTTTTGAAAACTTCAAAGTATCATCTGTAAGACGTTCTTGTAGTTTTTTGATAAAAATTTTTTTTTCGATGAAAGAAACTTGATTCTAAAAAAAGGTAACAAATTTTGTATTTAACCAAAAAGTTAATTTTTGCTTTGAGCGACGATAAGTCAGCGACAAATCATCGTACAAAGTTCTTGAATAGCTCAAATTGAAGAGGATGAATAATAAATACTCCAGCAAAATAAGCTGGGAAAGATTATTTCGCGACTTTTTGTTTCGGCGAGCTGAATTTATCACTTAGATGCTAAATATTATGTACAATAATATATTAGTTTCCAGTCATAAATATGGGGGAAGATTGTAAATTCGTTTTTCGCTTATAACTTTTTCCCGTTCATTTTCACGGAAATAACAGTAATGTACTTTTTTTTCGTCTTTAAAAGACCTACAAAACTAGCCCTCGAGCGACAAAAAATATTGATTAGATCAAAAGTTATAAACAGAAGAAGTTTATTTATGACTTTTGAATTAAACATTTATAAACTGCGTTATTATTACCAGAACGTTTTGGCATCGCATCCTCTCATTCCTTATCACTGTCTAATAACTCAC